CTCGAAAAAAAAAATACACGCACCCCACGCAACACGTCTCAATATAATTTTGTTCGGCAAAATAAAAGCATACTTCGTGTGGGACTACATCTTAGTTTTAGTTTTAGTAGAGGTTTTACGGCGCTCGCAACTGCATAAGGTCTTATTATGAGCGCCAGAAGATTAGAGGTGTTACAAGAGAGTAACAAACATGAAAAAAAGAAGAAGGGGAGATAAGATAAGGACGATAGATGTTTGATAGGAGAGAAGGAACAAACCACACCAGAGCACCCGCCAACCACCCTCTGGGGACCACATCGATTGGTGGAAAGTTTCAGTCTGTAAAACTACCTGGCGACAGTACGGAAAATGGTGAAATGGTGAAATGGTATGAGTATAACGCCCCCTATCAACGCTATTAGGTTATTTAAGAGGCGGGACCTCCTAGTTTAACGTCTCGATAGGACCGAGCCGAGTGGGAAGTTCGTGTAAAGTGTCTTTTCCAAGGCCAGGACACAACGTCGGACCGAGCTGAGGCTCCAACTCCCGAACCCGCAATCTCAGACAGGACGGAGTAAACTCTTTGAGGACACGCAATTTGCACGCTTGAAGGCCTGTTTGCTTGGGGGGGATGATTTTAAAAAGTGGCATGACTCCCTTACATTCATACACCTTTGTGAAGTGCGCTGACAAAATGAGTTACTTCTCAGATTTTAGACCGATGGAAATAGAAAGATCAAATTTATAGGTTGAAGTTTTACAATTTATCAGTATGAAATGATAAAAGAAATGTTAAACTTGAGGAGAATGGCTTTGGTTTGAAGTCTACAAATATGAAGTGGGTGGTTGGCAGGTGATCTGGTGTGGTTTGCTCCTTCTTTCCTATCAAACTTCTTTGGTCCTTATTTCTCCTCCTTCTTTTTTATGTTTGTTACTCTCCTGTAACACCTCAAATCTTCTGGCGCTCATATGACCTTATGTAGTTGCGAGCGCCGTAAAACCTCTACTAAAACTAAAATCAAATATGAACCTTGTGTTGATTTTTGGCCGATATCTCCATTCATGGAATGCGAGAAGTAACTCATTTTGTTCATTGTTAGCACGCCTCACATTTATATTCTGCTTCCTTTACCTGAAACTTACATAGCAGGCAATAATGTGCATGCTATGAAATATGTAAATTTGTGTTTTTGATTTAATAAAAATAATAATTGCATTTATATAGCGCATATCCATGCTCAAGAGCATGCTCTATGCACTTTACAACTATTATTACCCCAGTAGACCCTTTGAGGACACTCTGAAACATTCTCGGCTTCCGCGGAAGCATACAGTGCAAGCTGCGGATTTCACGCGCTCAAACACTATCAAACTGACAAGATCTTTCACTGTCTATAGCCGGGTACCCATTCCCACCTGGGTGAAGTGAGGAAAATGTGTGCAAAGTGCCTTTCCCAAGGACACAACGTCGGGCCCCTGACGGGATTCGAACCCACGACCTTACAGTTCCGAGTCCGAGAGCCTAACCACTAGGCCACCGATATGTATGATGGTTCAAAATAAGCGACATCATTGGCTTTGGTCTGCTGCTAATCGGACATTTATGTGAGTCTGCTAGGTCGACAAAGAGTTAATGCTGCGTGAGGCGGGGGATTGAGATTCTAATTAAAGCAATCAAAACGGGTTCACTTGATTATTTCGTTAATTAAGAAATGTTCATTAACTTAGAGAAAGGCTTCGGGGTGGGGCAGTGTTGGTGAGGCGGAGGGGGAAGGGGGT